TTTCCCACTACCTAGCAAACTCTTTTCACCCTCATCACTTCCCTCCACTTCCTTTCACCTACTTATCCTTCAATTCTTGGTTCAGTGACACTATGCCAAATCTCCCTATTATTAGATGTTCTCATTGAAACATTTGCCTCTCCTTAGCATTGAACACAACTATAATTTTATAATACAGTTCTCCCTTGAACAACACAAGTTTGAACTTCACAGGTTCACTTATACGTGAATTATTTTCAACAATAAGAAATGGAAAATACAGTATTTGAGGGATGTGAAACCCAGGTATACAGAGAGCCAACTTTTCTTTTTCTCCTTTTTTTTCTTTTGAGACTAAGTTTTGCTTTTGTTGCCCAGTCCGGAGTGCAATGGTGTGCTCACCACAACCTCCGCCTCCCAGGTTCAAGCAATTCTCCTGCCTCAGCCTCCTGAGTGGCTGGGATTTACAGGCATGTGCCACCATGCTCAGCTAATTTTTTTTTTTTTTTAGTAGAGACGCAGTTTCTCCGTGTTGGTCAGGCTGGTCTCGAACTCCCGACCTCAGGTGTTCCACCCATCTCAGCCTCCCAAAGTGCTGGGATTACAGGCATGAGCCACCATGCCTGGCTCCAACTCTTCACATAAGTAAGTTCTGCAGGTCTAACTTTAGGATTTAAGTATGCACAGATTTTTGGTGTATGCAGGGACCCTGAAACCAATACCCAGATTATACTGAGGGATGACTGTAATTTGTGATTGTTTGATCGATGTCAATTTCTCCTATCAGACCAAAAGCAGAAATTGTATCTTTTTATTCACTATTGAATCACCAAGGCATAGCACAGTACATACCATGGGTGTTCATTAAATATCTGCAGAATTGATTACCAAATACTTTTAAGAAGCAAAAAAGAACGAGGACTGAGCAAGACAATTGGAGCTATCAAGATCAATGATGACCTCTGAAAGTACAGTTTGAATATACTGATGAGGGTAGAATCCAGAATGCAGGGACTTAAGGAGCAACTGAGCAAAGAAAATAGGGGAGAGAGGATGGACAAGAGGCTGACAGAAGGAAGCAACAATGTTAAGGGAAAGCTGCTTATTTTCATTTTGTTATTCTTTATGCCATTGTTGTTCTGCCTCCAACACTGAGAAGACTTAAACAGAGAAGAATTGAAAATATTAGAGACAGGATGTAATTAGTCAGATTAAGGGAGGGCTACAGTTGAAAAAGTTTGTCTGAAAATGTCAGCAAAGAGGTGAGGTAAGCAAAGATATCATAAAGGAGTGATTAACTTGGCTGGGCACAGTGGCTCACACCTCTAATTCCAGCAGGTTGGGAGGCTGAGGCGGGCAGATCACCTGAGGTCAGGAGTTCGAGACCAGCCTGGCCAAATGGTGAAACTCCGTCTCTCTACTAAAGATACAAAAATTAGCCAGGTGTGGTGCCGCATGCCTGTAATCCCAGCTACCCAGGAGGCTGAGGCAGAAGAATCACTGGAACTTGGGAGGCAGACGCTGCAGTGAGCAGAGATTGCACCATTGTACTTCAGCCTGGGCAACAAAAGCGAGAATCCATCTCAAAAAAAAAAAAAAAAAAAAAAGCAGTGGTTAACTTAAGCATAATGATATAACCAGTTGAAAGCAATATTAGAGTTCATAAAGAAGCTGACAGGTTGATAAACCAACAACACTTAATTAGGGAAAGCATACGGAAGGGAGCTGTGTTTCAATCAAAAGGTAAGGAAGCCATTTACACCGCTTAGATATAATCAGCAAAATCCAGATTATGGGAGCTTGTACAGGACCAATAACCCAGTTCCTTCAACAAATAAATAGTAAGGAAAAAAATAAAGAATGACTTTAAAGAATAAAAGAAACTTAAAGGACATATCATAACGTGGATTTGACTGGATCATGATCCAGGTAAGCAAACTAAAAAATAAATAAATAAATTTTTGAAAAGAAAAACAGAAAATTGAATTCTGGACATTCAATGATAGCAAGAAAATATATTAAGTACTTCAGGTGTGATAATAGTATTATGGTTATGCTTTTAAAAGATCCTTTAATTTTTCAGAAATCATACTGAAATATTTAGATTTCAGATACCTGGTATTTGCTTCAAAATAATACAAGACAAGGTAAGTAGTTAGTGATACTAAAGCAACAAGACTGGTCATAAGTAATAATCATCATCATCATTGCTGAAACTGGGTATTGAGCTCACTGGACTTCATTATGTATGTTTTTATTTAATTTGTTTGAAATTTTCCATAACAAATTTTTAAGATGAGATTTGGTTTGCACAGTAGGATTTTCTTCTATAAAGTTTATTGTTTAAGGTTTGACCTGGGTTCAGTAGATTTCTCGGAACCACGGGCATTATTAAATGAAATCTAAGCAAAATTGGAGAACTAAGTAATCCACAAAAAAAAAAAAAAAAAAAAAAAAAAACCAGGATTGAGTAGAACACAAGATACCACTTGAAATATGAAATATGCAGGAGTAGATCCTTCAAGTTGCTATCTATTAAAGGTTTTCAAAGAGCAAAATTTAACATAAAGGATAACAAGAAACTAACTGGAGCTGTGTGTGGTGGCTCATGCCAGTAATCCTAGCACTTCAGGAAGCCGAGGCTAGCTGATCACTTGAGGTCAGGAGTTTGAGACCAGCCTGGCCAACATGATGAAACCCCGTCTCTACTAAACATACAAAAATTATCTGGATGTGGTGGCACATGCCTGTAGTCCTCACTAGTCAGGAGGATGAGGCAGCTGAAGCATGAAAATCCCTTGAATCTGGAAAATGGAGGTTGCAGTGAGCCAAGATCATGCCGCTGCACCCCAGACTAGGCTGCACTCCAGACAGAGTGAGACTGTCTGTCTCAAAAAAAAAAAAAAAAAAAGACAAGACAAGAAAAAGAAACTAATTGGGGCATCCACAAGGAGTATGCTGATGGTCCAAGCTGGAAGAAAAATGATTCCATTTACTCTTTGGTTTTTAAGTCAGATTGGAGATTCAAAGCCAAAGAAAAACTCATGCAGGTGTAAGATAAAACCTGAGCATACTATATTTGCTCCTAAGAAAACAATATGTGCACTAAAGCAAAGGTCCCCAACCCCCAGGGCACAGACGAGTAGCTAGGAACCAGGCTTCGCAGCAACTGGTGAATGGCAGGAGCTTCATGCGTTTTAACAGCCATTTCCCATTTGGCATTACAGTCTGAGCTCTGCCTTCTGTCAGGTGAACAGGGGCATTAGAGTCTCATAGAAGCGTAAACCCTACTGTGAACTGCGAAAGCCAGGGATCTAGATTGCATGCCTATGAGAATCTAATGCCTGATGATCCGTCACTGTCTCCCACCACCCCGAGATGGGACCATCTAGTTGCAGAAAAACAAGCTCAGAACTCCCACAGATTCTACATTATGGTGAGTTGCATAATTATTTCATTATATGTTACAATGTAATAATTAATATAAAGTGCACAATGAACGTAATCCGTTTGAATCATCCCAGAATCATACCCCCTCTCTGAGCCATGGAAAAATTGTCTCCCAAGAAACCAGTCTCTAGTGCCAAAAAGGTTAGGGACCGCTGCACTAAAGGAGTGTTATGATATTTCAGATGTAGGGGCAGTCACTCAAATCTCAGCAACCTACTTCTGTCATCTTCCCTCCTTTGTTCATTCCATTTTCATCCTCCCACAAACCAAAAGTGCCTTAGAGGTAGCACAAAGGCCCTGAGGCAAAGGGGGAAGCGTAAGAGATAATACAAGTGTTTGAAGAAAAGGATTAAACATTTCTCCTCTCCCACTGAATCCTGGATTTAAGAAACGGTTTAAGTTGAACTTGACAACTAGCAGGTGCTAGTTGTTTAAGGTGGAAAACGCAATGCTCAGGACTCAGGACCAGTTGAGATGTTTGCTTGGTAGCGACTAGAATATTGAACTCTGGGGTCCTCTCCTCTTGCTTTTCCAGATCTCATCCTCAGCAATCCCCAAGTATTAGACCTTTTTTTAATTAAAAAAAAAAAAAGTAGAGATGCGAAAAATAAAAAGTTATAACGTCAAGTAAAAAAAATATATAGTGGCCGGACGCGGTGGCTCATGCCTGTAATCCCAGCACTTTGGGAGGCGGGGTGGCAGGGGAAGAAAGGCCAACATAATGAAACCGCATCTCTACTAAAAATACAAAATTAGCTGGGTGTAGTGGTGCATGCCTGTAGCCCCAGCTACTCGGGAGGCTGAGGCAGGAGAATGGCTTGAACCCGGGAGCAGGAGGTTGCAGTGAGCGGAGATCACACCACCACACTCCAGCCTGGGCGACAAGAGCGAAACCCCGTCTAAAAAAAAAAAAAAAAAATGTTTAGAGTAATACCATGTGAAGGAGATAGGCACATTCCAAAAGAAAACAGCACGTGCATGTTGGAGCAAGGCAGTCGGTGGCTGCCCCACAGTTAATGTGGGAGGAGCTGTGGAGACACAGCCACAGGCAACACCAGAGCCCTGCACACCATGCAGAGGAAAGGAGGTGCTCAGTGCGCCCAGATTTCATCAGAAGCCACTCTGTCAGGCCCCAGGGGCACGTCTAGAGCGCACAGGCCGACTTGCCTGTGCCCTATTCGAACCGTGCCCTGAGCACCTTCCCCTCCCGGCACCATCCGTCCCTCAGCAGCCAGGAGTTTATAAGAGCGGAGGCTGATTCCAGTGAGGTGGCAGAACTTTAGGAGGCCTCTCCCAAAAGCCAGCTACGTCCCCGTTAGTCAAGATTGCTCGTCAAGGACCTAACCTCCCCTCCAGATTTAGTGTACCAGAAGCGTCGCAACAACGACTGCTGCTTGCGCGCCTCAGCTAGGAGGGTGCGGACATTTTTAAGGACGCGCTGGAAATCCCGGGCACGCTCCCGCCTGTGAAGAAGGCCAAGAGAAAATGTGCGCCAATCAGGATGCAGACTTGGAGGACGTTTACCGTAAGGACCAATAAGAGGGAAGGTGGGCGGGACCAAGGGTGCTGTTTTGCTCTTGGGATTTAAACCTCAACGGCCGGCGGTTAACAGCACGTTCAGCGCGTGGGTTGGCAGTGCCCCTGCGCAAACTTCGGGAACGCTAACTGAACCTGCGTGCTCCGCTAGCTACTGGCAGGACGCGGTGCGGCGAGCGGGCTTCGGCGACGCGGGTAAGCGGGGTGAAGGTCGGAAGCGGCGGGACCTGGGGACGTAGGCTGCGGGCCGGCTGCCGCAGGAGCCCTCGGTCCTTTCCCACTGTCCGGACGGTGCAGAGTGGTAGCCTCCCTCCCTGTTTCCAGGTCCTGCCGGACGAGCCGTCCCGAACCTTGCGTTCCTGAGAAAGGCGGCCGGGGCGGCGTGAGCTGCAGGCGCTGTGCGCGACGGGCCGCGGCCCCTGGAGGTCACGGAGTGCGGTAGCCGCCGCTGCCGCCGCCTTTACGCCGGTGGTCGCGCTGAGCTCCTGGGCCGCGCCGGTGTGACCAAGCGGAGGCCAGGGACTGCCCCGGGGCGGGAGCGCAGGCCCGGAGGCCGCTGGCTACCTGGGTCCTAGCCACGCCCGCGGCCAGGCGGGGCGACTGCGAGCTTTGCCGTTGAGAGGCGGAGCGTGTCTTCTCGCCTTCTGGCTGCACCTTTCGCGGACTGCCGGATGGAACTGTGCAAGGTGTTTGCCCACCCTGAAATGGAAATCAACCTTTTTTTATTGTAAAAAATATGAAGTCTCACTAAGCATGCAAAGAGAAACATTAAGATATCGTTTTAGATTGGTAAGATTTTTCAGTACCCAGTGATGGTGAGCGGTAAAGAAATGAAAGCAAGCACCTTCTGCCCTGTGTGTTGGGGATAATCCGTTTTTCTAGATGGCAGTTTGGCATTATAAATCAGAATTCAGATTGTACCATAACTTATAAGTCATAATCCACTTCCAGGAATTTATTCCAAGGACATAAATAGGACAGTGCAAACATGTACATGTTTTTAGAAATCCGAGCAACATTTAGTACGAATAAAGAACAAAGAAAATACTCGAAATTCCAGCAGCTACAGATAACCATCAAATAAAACACTGTTCACATTTAGGTTTACTTCAGATATATTCATAATGAATATATACCTTATATTTACATGATTTCCTTATAAAATGTCTTTTAAATTTTATGTTATGAATATAATTAAAAGAACGTAAATTAAGGAGATCGTGCATTATTGAGTCAGTAATAAATCGGGAATACATTTCTCTGTCAGTGTCTATATGCATTACCATTTTTAATGGATGCATGGCGTTTCTTGCTATGGCTGTATTATTGTATCACGTATTATTTAACCAGTCCCCTACTAATGTACATTTGTTTCCAGTCTCTTCATAAAATTATAAAACAGTATGGTAGTGATCACTTATATGTATACATGTTTGCATTCTTGTCCTATTTATGTCCTTGGAATAAATTCCTGGAAGTGGACTATGACTTAGAAGTTGTGGTACAGTTTAAATTCTGATTCATAATGCCAAACTGGGCCAGCCACGGTGGCTCACGCCTGTAATCCCAGCACTTCGGGAAGCTGAGGCGGGCCGATCACTTGAGATCAGGATTTTGAAACCAATCTGGCCAGCATGGTGAAACCCTATTTCTGCTAAAGATTAAAAAAAAAAAATTAGCCGGGCGTGGTGGCCGGCGCCTGTGATCCCAGCTACTCGGGAGGCTGAGGCAGGAGAATCGCTTGAACCCTCGAGGTGGACGTTGCAGTGAGCTGAGATTAGGCCACTGCACTCCAGCCTGGGCGACAGAGAGAGACTATGTCTCGAAAAATAATGCCAAACTGCCCTCTAGAAAAACGGATTATCCCCAACACACAGGGCATAATAAAGGTACTTGTTTTTATTTCTTCACACACTTACCAGTACTGGGTATTGAAAAATCTTCTAAAATGATGTCTTAATGCTTTTATACACATTTTTGAGATTGAACATGTTTTCTGTTTATTTTTGTTGTTGTTTAGAAACAGATTTTAGCTTTGTCACCCAGGCTGGAGTGCAGTGCAGTGACCAGATCATAGCTTACTGCAGCCTCGAATTCCAGGGCTCAAGCAGTCCTCCTGCTTCAGCCTCCATAGTACTGAGACTACGGCCTATGCCACCACACCTAGCTAATCTTTTTTCTTTTTTTTTTTTTTTTTTTTTTTTAAGAGATGGGGATCTTGTTTTGTCGAACAGGCTGGCCTTGAACTGGCCTCAAGCAATCCTCCCACCTCAGCCTCCAAAGTGCTGGAATTACAGGCATGAGCCACTGCACCCAGACTGTTTATTATTTCTTTGGTAAATCATCTGTCTTTTCTCCCTTATCTTATTGATACGTGTACACTTTAATAGATTTCTAAGCAATTCAAATTACTTTTTTTTTTTTTTTGAGATGGAATATCACTCTTGTCACCCAAGCTGGAGTGCAGTGGCATGCTCTCGGCTCACCGCAACCTCCACCTCCCGGGTTCGAGCAATTCTCCTGCCTCAGCCTGCCAAGTAGCTGGGATTACAGGTGTGCACCACCACACCTGGCTAATTTTGTATTTTTAAGTAGAGACCGGGTTTCACCATGTTAGTCAGGCTGGTCTCGAACCCCTGACCTGGTGATCTGCCCGCCTCAGCCTCCCAAAGTGCTGGGATTACAGGTCTGAGCCACCGCGCTCAGCCAAATTACTGATTTTTAAACCTGTTAAAAGTATTTCTCCCAGTTTGTTGTCTCTCTTGTCTTCATTATGGTATTGTTTGCCTTTGTGATAGGATGTTTTTTTCTTTTAATACTATGATTCTTTAAGCTACTTGCTTATCTCCCCAGAGGTAGAGAAATTTGTTATAACTCTGCAATAGTCTCCCTGTAACTGTCAGGAGTCTGGCTACTGACCCAGAACCTTTATCTCAGTGTAAAGACTTTGCCCTTCTATCCTTGAAATTCTTTTGATTGTAACTAGCTAAACCTAGGACACTGAGTCACTAAGATTTTTGAAGAGAAGATATTGTTAGATATTTTGGTCATTGTTGTCTGTGTTTACAAGTTGCTCTAGCTTTTACGTGAAAGTTCCTCTAAAGAGAAAGGATTGTTCGGTCTTTTATATTAGAATTTTATATTATATTATAAAAGTAATATATTACTTTTATATTATATTACCTGTGGACCTTATTAAAGTTTGTATTTTATTTACTGTTTGGAAACATCATCTTCATAGGTTAAAGGAAAAAGGAGTATGACACAGTTTAAATGCAGAGGAAATAATACATTAATCACTGTATAGTAGGACACATGCCATTTAGGAAAAAAAAAAAAAAAAACAACTCTTGGCTTTACTGCCAAAAATCTTCCTGGCCCAGAGTCTCTCAAATTGTTATTCATGTATAGATATATATATAAAGTATCATTTAAATTTCACAACCTATTGAAATAGTTCCTTTCTTCTAACATTTATTAATTCCCTACCATGGATCAGAGACCGGAATTTGTACAAATGCTACCTAAGAGAACAAGTAATTTTGCAAAGTTACATTTGGGGGCTTCTCATTTGTTACACCTGTGATAACTGTTTTTACTTTTTCTGTGGCAACTACCAAAAATGTAGTCACTACATTCTTACTCTTCTAGATTGGATAGTATAATCTAGCTTTGAAAGGATTTTACTTAAGATTTAAGACCCTGATCCTCTGATTCCTTTGCTTCTACACAGTCTCCTAACAATGACTTTTGGTTAGTGCTTTTTGTCCATGTATCACTGCTTTAGAGTTAATTTTTTTTAACTGTATTCTTCTTTTCTAGGTTGTTTTTTTTTTTTTTTTTTTTTTTTGACTTGAATGCAAATACCAATCAAGGCACATTGAAACAAGGTAAGAAATTGACAAAAAAAAAAAAAAAAAAAACTTTGGTTTGCACTTACATTATTCCACCAGGCTCATCGATTCCGTGAAAAAGAGGATCTTTAAATCAAAATTAAAGGACAAAGTAATTGTATTTTAAGAATACCCAGGGCAGGAGCCGGGCGCGGTGGCTCACGCCTGTAATCCCAGCACTTTGGGAGGCCGAGGCGGGTGGATCACGAGGTCAAGAGATCGAGACCATCCTGGTCAACATGGTGAAACCCCGTCTCTACTAAAAATACAAAACATTAGCTGGGCATGGTGGCGCGTGCCTGTAATCCCAGCTACTCAGGAGGCTGAGGCAGGAGAATTGCCTGAACCCAGGAGGCGGAGGTTGTGGTGAGCCGAGATCGCGCCATTGCACTCCACAGCCTGGGTAATGAGCGAAACTCCGTCTCAAAAAAAAAAAAAAAAGAATACCCAGGGCATAGTGAAGTGTTGATAGACTAGGTGATAATGATTCAAATCCAGAAGACTTGGATGATACAATGGGCAATTTTGAATAAATTTTAAGTGATTTTGTCCCACTATTTCCCCATCTCTAAAATGGGGATACTTTCTGGTTCCCTCTCTGCTAGGATATAAAAGCTACTATAATGTACTTTTCAGTACTACAAGTTCACCTCAACTTTGGTATGCTATTTTACTTCCTAAATTTGAAACTCTTTCAGTGAAGTCTTATTCTGTGGTCTACCCCTTGCTGGGCTTCTGTAACAATTATGCAGCATTAGTTTATGATTTATATATATTAGTACTGTTTTTAATTGTCCCATGTTATTTGCACTAGCAGCTGGAGGATAGAAAATATTTGTATACCTGGAGTCTTGAACATGGGTAGGAAAAAACTAATTGTTGGTTGGTAAGTAAAACTTTGGATCTCATAAACATGGGAGAATTATAAATTAGAGGATCAGGGTCTGAGATCTTAAGTAAAATATTTTTGGCTGGGCACAGTGGCTCACGTCTGTAATGCCAACTCTTTGGGAGGCCAAGGTGGGTGAATCATGAGGTCAGGAGTTCGAGACGAGCCTGGCCAACATGGTGAAACCTGTCTCTACTAAAAATACAAAAACTTAGCTGAGGTGGGCGCCTGTAATCCCAGCTACTTAGGAGGCTGAGGCAGCAGAATCGCTTGAACCTGTGGAGGTTGCAGTGAGCCAAGATTGTGCCATTGCATTCCAGCCCAGGTGACAAGAGTGAGACTCTGTCTAAAAACAAACAAAAAAAAGATCCTTTCAAGGTTGTCTAGATTATACTATCCAATCTAGAGTAAGAATTTAGTGACTGCATTTTTGGTAGTTACCATAAGTCAAGACAGTCATCATAGATAGAACAAACAAGAAGACTTCAAATGTGAGTTTGCAAAATTACTCATTCTCTGAGGTAACATTTGTACAAATTCTAAATGTGGGTAACACTCACTGCAGTAATGAAAATTACTATTGAGGAAGAAGGTCTGAGTTCAAACTTTGTTGTTTATTATTTTTATGGTTACAAAGGATAATGTATTTAAGACGACTTTGAGTTCTTTTGAATAAATACCAGTGTTCACAAGTAATATTTTGAGGGTTACTTATTAACTTTGATTTGAGAACAAGCAAAGCCCCATCTCATTTTCCTATCTCAGTGTGTGGTACTACCAGCCACTCATGTTTCTCACATCTGAAAAAGGAGTTATCTAGAAAGCCTCCCTACTTTTGTACAGCATATCTATTCACTGAATCCTGTTGTTTCTTAAGTTCATCTACTTCTCTCCATTTGCCTATGAATATCTTCTAGGCCACTGTCATCATCTGTTGCCTCCCAGTTGGTCACAATGCCTCCAATCTTGCCCTCTTCCCATCCATAGAATGCCTAGAGCAGTGTTTTTGCCACGCAATTCTATAGGGCATGTAAATTTTTTCAGTGGCCCTGCAAAATAAAATCTAAGCTTCTTAAAGAATGCCATTGCTCTTCAAATGTGACTTTTGCTTACCTTTTTAAATTATGTTCTTGTCACTCTCAAGTCATACCAAGGGATTCACAGTTGCCTGAATGCATATGCCGTCCTCTATAATCCTTTACACAAACTGTGTCTTCTGCCTTAGACATCCTTAAAGTGGTTCTTTACTTTAACTGGCTCTCACTTGTTCTGCAAGGTTTAGCTTTAATATCTCCTCTATAAGAATTTGCCTATAACCACTAGCCCAGGCCTTGGCAAACATGAGGATCCATGAACTAAGAGTGCTTTTTACATTTGTAAAGGATTGTAAAAATATGTACCCAATAGAGGCCATTTGTGGCTCACAGAGCCTAAAACATTTACTCTTTAATCCTTCACAGAAAACATTTACCAACCTCTGCACTAGATGTATGTGCTTTGTAAGATAAGGTACTATGCTTTATTCAGTTTGTTAACTTCCAGGTAGGTAACTTCATGCCTGGCATTAGACCAATTTATCCAATCTTTAATTAACTGAATATTCTTAAATTCTATCTTAGAAAATAAGATACTCAGGAGAAACACTTTATGAAAACTCAGATGAGTAGTGAATCTCATCTGCTTTGGGGGGAAAAAACACAACTAATTAGATACTTGCAGGATTAGGCTTTAATGAATTTGAATACAAGGCATAGGTTTCCAGGTGTACATAAACACATCTCCATTTACAACTGCTTTTTGCTTCTTTAATCTCTAAATCCTTTTGGACAGGGATAAAAGAATATTTGAATTTTCTTATTAAAGCAGTAACTTCCTTAATAGGGCTTTAGTCTTTCTGCATTTTTTTTTAAGAGCTGATAATCTGAATTCCTAGTACTTGCAAGTAAATTTTTTTTTCCTTTTCTGTCCACCTACCATTAGGTGGTTCCTAGATCCTGGCAAATTGTCTGTGGTTAAATGATGCTTTTACTTTCTGGGTCCACACAGATCCTCTTTGTTGGTGTCTCCAAATTAGTATTCTCTTCCTCTAGTGTGTCATTACAGTCCCTTTTGGCTTTTGTTTCTTCCTCATGGAATAAAAGTGGGTGCTCAATCCGTCCCCTACGTACAAAATGCTGGATCCGGGATTCCAATCCTTGGCATTTAGGACGGTCCATGAGGGGCTTATATGTGCGCATCTTCACTCCTTCTACAAAAGCACTGGTCTGCTTTATGACAGAGGGCTTAACATTTCTCCATTCTGTCATTCCATCCATCTTTGGTTCTCTTCCACAGGGTATTGCAACAGAGTCCAGTCCTTGTAGCATACTATACAACATGTGAGTTTTGACAGCATGATTAGCCCATAGTTGTTGTAGATGGGTAATATTGAACTCCTGAGCCTCCTGGTCATAAATCCACTTGACATTTTCAAACTTACAGTCATATAAGACTAGAGGAAATTCTACAGCCATACTAGAGAAAAAGAAAAGAAAAGAGTTTGAGAATACATCTCAGCCATCCAACAGTTCCTTAAAAACTAAGAGTTAGTTGGGTTAAGGGAGCCGGGTAGCGGGCCACAGTTGATGTTAATAATTGACTGCCTAATAGCTAAGAAAATATCCCACCATCCCCAACCTTGAACAACTTTATTACAGTAATGAAAAATGCAACAAATCATAGATGAACCTGATCTATATTAGGTAAATGTCAGTGCTAACAAGATAGCTATAAGTGAGTTGACATGGCTCTATCATGCTGCTATAAAATTAAAAAATAGCTGATATTTTTTCCAGATTTGTTAATGGCATTGCAATTTTGCTCAGTATGAGTAAAATTATTGGTATCTATCTCAGCCTGTTCTCAAAAGAAAAATCTTGACTATTCTTTCTTTCCTACCATTTCAGAAATAGGAAATTAGGAAAAATTCAAAAGTACAATAGGATGACTACTCAGTGATAGAAAACCAGCCAGATTTAATACAAATAGCTTATTCACGTTTCAGTTTTACCACATCCTAACAATAATACCTCTTAACATAAATTCAGAAACAACAAAGATGTAGAAATGAATGTCCTTTTACTTAAGGAGCCTGGTCAAAACACCTGCCTCTTTACTCACAGGATAGAACAATGAGAGGAAAGTAGAAGATACTACTCCCTCTTACATGTTCATAACATTCTACAGTTCAGATTAAAAACTTCATGAAGGCAAAATCAGTGACTTAATTATTTAGATAATCATGGGGGAGAGAAGGATATGCTATTTCTTTTGTTTTGTTTTGTTTTTGAGACAGAGTCTCCCTCTGTCACCCAGGCTGGAGTGCAGTGGCCTAATCTCAGCTTACTACAACCTCTGCCACCCAGGTTCAAGCGATTCTTGTGCCTCAGCCTGCTGAGCAGCTGGAATTACAGGCATGCACCATTTATTTTTTAACTCACCTATATTGAGGCTTCTGAGGATTTTTCTCTATATTCAGCAGTTCATCAATAATCTCTGGCTTCTCCATTCCTTGGCCAATCAGAAGGAGGATAGCCATCATACATCGGACTTGATGATAAAGGAATGCCTGGCCAGTCACTTCAAATTGACATAACTGAAAAGGTACTTGCCATCTCTCCTCACCTGGGCTCTGGCCCACTAGCTGTACTTGAGCAGATAGAATAGTCCTTTGAAAATTAATCACACCATTGGCTACATCCATTTTACACAAGTTCCTGAAATCATGGGTACCAACATACTTCTGAGCTGCATAATCCATGGTTACAATATCTAAATCAGCACGAGGGAAAAAATAGCGGTAAGTCCGCTCAAGACAGCTGAACCTAGCACTGAAGCTCGGTTCTACAGGGGCCCAGGCCAATATACGGATGTCTGGAGGGAGCACCCGATTGAGAATGTGGGTATAACGGATCTCTTCAGCAGCTTCCTCATTTATATTAAAGTCCTCAGAATCCCTGCCCCTTGGAAACTGAGAGCGAAGGTCAAGTGAAATCACCTGTGGAGTAAAAGAAAGATACTGGGTTTCAGAGACACAAATATTCTCAGTACTCAGTGTGTATATCTAGAATATCCTGGTATTGCTTGGAGAAACAGTGTATTGGCCCTTACCTGTCCAAAGGCACTAACTCCTTTGTCTGTTCTCCCGCATCGGTGATAGTTGGATGTCTGTCTGCTTTCTACTAGTCGAGTCTTGGTTAGAGCCTCAAACAGTTTCTCCTCAATGGTATTATTTGTATTTTCCTGACTAGCAAAGCCCTGGTATCCCCAGCCCATATAGGCTATTCTTAGGGCTACATGTCTTCGGCCATGAGCACTGAAATCAAATGCACGCTTAGTTTTTCCAGCTCCTGAATTTTCTCTAATGTTTGAGTCCTCCTTACTTTTGGCCTGTTCCTTTTTAAGTCTTTGCACCTCATGCTCCAGTTCTTGTACTCTTCTTAGGAGTTTCTCAGTCTGGTTTCTGTCTGCATCATCAGCCATGATACGACAACCCCAGGAATAAACGAATCAAACAGGGCCGCCCTATCTGAAAAGAGAGCAAAGGAATACAACAGTTTGAGTGCTAGTTCCTTTGATGATGTTCAGATGGTATCTAACATTTAATTTAATGCCCAAAGAATATACTTTTGCTTTTCCAGGGATACAAGCATTAGCTTTATTGTGGGCTGATCATCCACAGATATCATTCTTTTCCATCCTGTCTAGCCAGTTCACAGAGGGAAAGAACTATTACTCAGCTGTCATTATTAAGGTTTCATTAAAGCAGTCAAAATTCCAGGAGAATGTCTATAGATTTCATTTCTCTATCTTCACTGAGTGTATTGAGGACTCATGTTACAGGTATTTTTTCTGTAAAACATTTCCATTTGATTTCTTATTGTATTTGTTCAATTCTCTAGTCATAAGATTTCTTTATATGGGCTACTTAAGTCTGTTCTGGGTTTCTGTTGCTTTTATTTCAAATAAATGGCTTGTATGTTCCATCATCTAATAATATTCATTAGATGAATAGTAGGTGGTGCAGTAGAAGCTAGCCTAACTGAAGAAGCTTACTGATGGTTATATTTCACATTGGAAGTGGAAGCTAGAGACAAGATTTTCTCACTTTAAGCAATTTTGATGGGAGAAAAAGGGTAATTAAGCACATTGACCCCTTTTTTAAGCTGAATTAAATGCATGTTTTGATAAAAGATTTCTGTACCTCTAATAGTTTAAAAAGTCAGTCTGTATAATGTAGATGTCACTGTAGAAATTCCTGTTATATTTCAATAATCTGAGGACAACTGTACTACATCCTTAAAATTGGGATGGTCCTAGACAATCTGTGACTGATGGTTACTTTAGTTAGAGAAGACCATCTCCACATCTGTTCTAAGGCTATGTTATCTAAGTGTAGGTAGCTAATTTAGTTTTTTATTGAGTTTCTGTATCTATAGTAATTCTTTAAACTATTATATATATTAAATATATTACAATTAAATTGTAAAAAATGAAACTCAAAGTACTAGAAGAAAACATGGAATAACTTTGAAATTCTGGAGTAGGAAAGGCATTTCTAAGCATAACAGTCTAGAAACCCAGAAACCAAAGAAAAACAAGATGTCACCTAAAAGTAAACATTTCTGCAAGCAAAAAATAAAAGGCAAACAACAAACTGAGAAGGAAAAAAATAAGTGATGGTAAAGTGCTACCTTCCTTAATATATATTTCATTAATATATAAATCAGTTTTAATGAAAAAGTCAATAAGAAAAAAAATCCAGCAACCTGAGAGTCAAACAGGCAAAGACCAAGCATTTCAAACAAAAAGAAAAAAAGCTTATAAAATTTTTATTTTTTATTTTTTTTGAGATGGAGTGTCACTCTTGTTTCCCAGGCTGGAGTGCAATGGCGCAATCTGGTCTCACCACAACCTTCACCTCCCTAGTTCAAGCGATTCTCCTGCCTCAGCCTCCCAAGTAGCTGGGATTACAGGCATGTGCCACTATGCCTGGCTAATTTTTTAAATTTTTAGCAGAGACGGGGTTTCTCCATGTTGGTCAGGTTGGACTCCAACTCATGATCTCAAGTGATCCACCTGCCTTGGCCTCCCAAACTGCTGGGATTACAGGCATGAGCCACTGTGCCCAGCCTAAAATATTTTTAAATGTTCACTTCTACTCAGCTGAAATAAATGCAAAAGGATATGAGAACTATTTTTTAAGGAACTGACTACGAAGGCAATTTGATAGTATGCCACTTTGGAAAGGGACTAGAGAAACATGGTTAACACATGGTCAGTACAGCTTCTTTGGAGGTAAACATTTTGGCAGTAGCTGTCAACTTTTGGCCTACTTCTCCCATGTCTAGAAATTTAACCCATTCATATGCTTGCCAAATAAGTAGCAACTTACAGAATACTCTTGTTAACATTAGTAAACCTATAAATCTAAGTTACATCAGTAATCAGTAAGGGAATGGCTGAATAAATGTATGATACATTGATACACTGGAATTCTGTGCAACATAAAATAAACCTCAGCCTATGCTTACATAGCTGGATAACTTGTTATCTTTAAGGTTCAGAAGAGTTGTATATTGTTCTCCTTTATGGTATAAAAAAATAAGTGTACATGTGAATATGGAAATCATTTCTGGAGAAATCATAAGAAATTGCTTTTGAGAGTAAAACTTGGTGGGTAAGGGAAAAATCCTTGCTTAAAATTATCATGTGCATGTATTCGTTTTTCAGTTTAAAAAGAAAAATAGTAGGGACACAGGAAATAGTGGACAGCAGATACCTATCTCAGATTCAGTTAGGAAACTAGCATTGGGTATTTGGCTGATGGATGTGAGTACTAAGTTATTTCAGACACTAGAATGAACAGATTTAGCCAGCAACTGAGGATGTATTCAAATTACTAAAGCATAGAAATTATATGTATGCATATATATATATACACATTGTGTGTGAGAGAGAACACAACACTGCTTTTGATTTTTTTTTTTTTTTTAGATCAAATCACTCTTTTATGGTTAAAAGCTGGGACTCACTCTGAAGCCAAACTGAGTTAGAATTCCAGCTCCACCACTTACTAGCTGAATAACCTTGGGCAAGTTATTTAACTTCTCTGTGCCCTATGTATTCATCTGTGAAAAGGAGATAATCCCACGGCTGAAAATTACATGAATAAATGTAAAGCACGTAGAACAACGGCAGGCACATAAAGTACCCCCTAAGTAACCTGTTACATAATACACATTAAGTGGTATGCCCCATATCATGAAGTTTCAAACTTTTCTTATGCCAGAACTAAACTGTCCTGTTTCAGGACCTACTAAAGGTGGCAAGACAGGAGAAAGCAGGATTAAGAGTGGAAATGAAAGCAGGTAACAGATTCCCTGGAACTGAGTTAATGCCCCTCTAAACTGTTCTTATACTACCTGGTATTGAATTTATGATTGCCTTTGCCATTCTTTCTCCATTTGACTACTATAAAATGGAGATAAGGGAATGAGCAATTTATGAGTTGGGAATTTATTATTGGAAAACTGACCAATGTTATCTCTTGCAGAAGGTCCTACAGTGTAGGAAAGCAATGAAACAACTTGCACCTGATGGACAAAAATGGGCCAGTATGGATCCAGAAGAGCAAATGTTGGTAGCTGCTACAGCTTTTACCCACATCTATGCAGGACAGGGTAAAGGAGATGTCAGGAGAGAGGCCCAATCTATCCAATATGATCCCTACAGTAAAGCTTCAGTAGCCCCAGGGAAGCGACCTACTCTTCCTGTGCAACTACAGTACCCACGTGTGGAAAGTAGTATCACTTCAGAAGCAGTCTCTGAGGCCTCCCAAAGACTCCGAAAGCCAGTGATGAAGAGAAAGGTGCTGCGTAGAAAGCCAGATGGGGAAGTGTTAGTGACAGATGAGTCGATTATCAGTGAATCAGAATCTGGTACAGAAAATTATCAGGATCTCTGGGACTTAAGACAAAGGCTGATGAATGTGCAGTTCGAGGAAGACAGGGAATCCTCATTTGATATTTCACAAAAACTTAATCCACCACATGAATACCAAGGAATTTCTCAAGATCAGCTCATTTGCTCTCTACAAAAAGAAGGAATGGGCTCTCCAGCTTACGAACAAGACCTGATTGTTGCCAGCAGACCCAAGTCCGTTATTCTCCCAAGGCTGGATCAGTTAAGCCGAAACCGGGGCAAGACAGACCGGGTAGCCCGGTATTTTGAGTACAAACGGGACTGGGACTCAATGCGCTTACCTGGTGAAGATCATAGGAAGGAATTACGCTGGGGTGTCCGAGAGCAGATGCTCTGTCGAGCAGAACCCCAACCCAAACCTCAGCACATATATGTCCCAAACAATTACCTAGTACCAACAGAGAAGAAAAGGTCTGCACTCCGTTGGGGTATTCGTTGTGACCTTGCAAATGGTATCATACCCAGGAAGCTTCCCTTCCCTCATTCTCCTCCTTAAATCTTTTTTAAACTGTCTTCTTTCACAGGATTGTTTGAGATAACCTGGCTCTTTTTATCTTTCCTTTTAAATAGAAACAACTGACTTGAAAAGCTCATAGAACATTTTACAGTAAGGACTTCACCTATCACTGGTCTTTCCTAGCTATATATCACATTGATGTCATATAAAACTTCCAAATTAACACTCAAATCCAGCAATTGCAAGATATATTGGAGAAAGAGAAACAGATCTGGTCTTTCTATTTTGTCAAATTAGTATTTTGCCAAATCAGTAAGGGCCCTTTGTGTCCTATAACCTTTTTTACCTATGGCCAATGTGAGTTGCTGTGCTTTTATGTGTATTTTTTAAGTTGCTGGGCATTACATTTATCAATTAAAGAATTTTGGAAATTCATGAACTTGAATATTGTTTCATTAAATACTTCCCTAATATGATCTTGAACCTGAGCTGTGATGAGAGCTCAAAAGAAGGAACAAAAACCTGCCTGTTACACAGTCCTAAAGGATGGGAGAGAGGTAACAACATAGATAGCCGTCATTACTAAAGGTATACAACAAATCCAAGTAGCTTTAAACTACTTTAATAAATGCCCCAAAACAGTACCATATAACAAACAGGATTCAAAATTGTTTTATTTCAGAATCATTTCAATAATATTTTGCCTGTCAGCTGGAATACCATGCTTTTTATAATTCGCTCCTGAGATTTTTGTAGGAATTATGCATCACTTGGAAGGCTATTCCTACTCCAGTAGAATTTCAAACTAGTAACATCTGGAATCAGATGCAAACATAAATACCTAAATGAATCTAGCCTCTTGGGGTGCAGATTAAAATATGAATTCTGCTCACCTTAAACTGGAATTTATCTGTTCTTGGTATTTCTAACCCAATGGGGACCATGTAAAATCTGAAAGTTGTCAGTTTTAACACTGGAGGCCAGAAGAACGATGGCATAGATTGCTTGTTCAAGGAGAAGAGCACTAACATAAACGTGAATGACTGACCCTTACTATCTGTGAAAATCATTTTCCCTATAACATTTAAAGCCACATAATTCACACATTCACCCAGTTCTATTTGCTAAGTATCAGGAAAAGAAGTAATCAATGACTCAGATACGTGTAGGATATACTCACTGCAAATAAGTAGAAACCAAACTGTCTTCCAACAGTGGAATAGTAATGTCTTTAAAGATATTAGAATATTAAATAGTCATTGGGAATCTTGGGAAGGTGAAAATTAGATGAATGTATCATAAACTGTACAGCATGATCTCAGTTATACACTGTACACACAGGGAAATATCAAAACCTAACTCTTGAGCAGTGGGATTAAAGGTAGTTTGTATTTACACATTGGCTTTTTATGAGGTCAAAAATTATACGGTGATTTTAACTTGCAGAACACTCCAATGATTTATTTAGATCTCAAAGTCCAGTATTACCAGAATCAGCCTCCAAAGTTACCTAGTTCAACACCCCTGCTAGCTAAAGAACTAGGCCAGGGAGTGAGTCTGGCTGGTCTTAAGGCAGATTTGTGGCAAAAACAAGACTTGGTACACTACAGTGTTTTTTCCAGCACACCCATCTTCAGGGTGAAGTGTAGTAGTTCCCAAGCAGACGTTTAAGGTAACACCTTGGCCAGGGCTACCAAGTGACCACAAAGGGAATTCGTGTGTACCCTAAGCATCAATTACAAACTAAAACAGCCAACACCAGATGTTCCATACATTGGGCCAGGAGCCGTGGCTCACGCTTGTCATCCCAACATTTTGATAGCACAAGACGGGGAGGACCGCTTGAGGCCAGCAATTCAAGAGCAGCCTGGGCAACACAGCGAGACCGTCTCTACAAAAAAAAAAAAAAAAAATTAAAACTAGTCTGCCACGATGGCGCGCGCCCGTAGCCTCAGCTACTCGGAGACTGAGGTGGGGGGATCGCTTGAGCCCAGGAGGTCGAGGCTGCAGTGAGCAGTGATTATGCCACTGCACTCAGCCTGGGAGACAGTCTCCAAAAAAAAAAAAAAAAAAAAAAAAGTCCTACTGTCAGGAACCAGTGGGTTAACAAAAATAGCATTCCTCTTGATAAACTTCGTATTAATCCAAAGGGAAAAAGAGGGAGCACTGTCCAAAAGATTCGTGGGCACGCACTATGATCACTAAAAAAAATAATTCGAAAATTGCTGCCACAGCCTCCCACATACTCCTGGGATCTCAACTTCTACCACTGTTTAGTTTTATGAGCACCCAATTCTAAGTGGGGCAGCAGAGCACTTTTGTACACCACAGTCCAAGGGCCACGGAAGCTCCGGTCACAATGGAATTAAAGATGTCCCTACAGCTGCGAGTTTCCGCTGTGAGCTCCAGAAAGTACCAGACACAAAAGAAAGACACTAAGCGAGGTCTCATTTCCATACACCAATGCTTTCCTGAAAAGACCAAAGTATATGTAAGAAGGCAAAAAGACAACCATTTAGCAGTGTGTCCGTTTGTTCCTTCCCCTGTGGAACCCAGAAATTAACCCACCCCAAAGAGCCCACACTTACTTTCGGGTAAGGGGCAGTGCCGGGTTTCCGAGACAGGAAGCGGTCACTGTGCGTCTTCTGCGCACGCGCTGGAGGCTTCATGGGGGGTGTAGTCCATGGTTGTGGGAAATGTAGTTCTGAGAACCCAGCTTGGTGCTAGAATTCACCTCAGGTTTTTTAGTACAGCTATCGTTTCTCCACCCGCAAGGGAGAATCTGGGGCTGTGTCAGGACAGCAATAAAAGGAGGAATTCTAGTGCTACGCTATAATAAAAGAATAGAGATAATTTTTCAAATGTCTGCTATCCTTACACGAAAACTAAAAGATTGAAGATCTTGGCTCGATTTTGTCTTTTGTACCTACTTAAACAAGAAAGTTACCACTGAGAGACGAAAACACTTACTATTGGAATCTAAATTAAAAGCTGAAATGAATATGATAATCTCAAAACAAGAGACTAAGTGTCCTGAGGGTGACCGAACACAGCTGCGGAGCGTTGCTTCAGCACCACGGAGAGATCATGACTGCAGTTTCGTTTGTGGGTTTTTGCATTTTTGCCCCCAATTCCAGAAATGCTGACCCAAATCTCAAAATTACAGTTAGAAAATTGGGGGAAGGAAGGAGGTGGAATTTGGTTCTTTCGTCCAAATTGAGCAGTCATTAAGTCATTAGTAGCGGGGATCCAGGGATCTATCCCGTATTATGCACATGCATGTAGGACGTAGAGGTTATACCGAATGGAAATGTTTTTAACATGAGACCACATTTCGGAATAAAAGTTTTAAAACGCCTATGTGGAACATCACAGGAACCGCAGTTAGAAGTTGAACAGCTCTGCTTCCTTTCCGCAACTGTAGCATTCGAGGTCATTCGTCATATCAAATTCATCAGATTTTGTCCTCACTTTCCTAAGCAATTCGCTAACCTTTCTGACATCTAGTGATGCGAAGGCGGAAATTTCCAGGGAAACGGGCAGGGGGCGTAAAGCGCTGTGGGGAGTCCGGGGAGCTCCCGCCTGGAGTGCTGTGTGCGCGGCAGGACGCGGGCGGGGGCGCTCTCCACTCAGGGCGGAGGCTGCAGCCTCACGCAACCGGCTCAGCAGGGACCAGACGCCCACGCCGAGCGCGGACCTGGGGCGGGCACACCAAAACCGCGCGCAGCAACACAGCACTGCCCTCCTCCGGCCGCGCCCAGGCCGCCAGCTCTCCACGCCCCCTTCACACCCCGTCCACGCCCCCTGTGTCCCTCCACGCCCCCTGTGTCACTCAGCGTCCCCTCTACCCCAGCTCCGCACCCCCTCCGCCCTCCGGAGCGCCTCACCCCTCCCTCCAGCGCCTGCGCGCCGCACCGCGGGGGTCGCCGGCGCGGACGCCTGCCCCCTGAGGAAGCCCATTGGCCAGCGGACGGGGCCGGCACCGCCTCGCGCCTGTGGTAAAAGCACGTGCTGGGGGCGGGAGCAGCGATCGCAGCCATGGCGTCGTTACTGTGGGGAGGAGACGCGGGGGCGGCGGAGAGCGAGCGGCTGAACAGCCACGTAACCGCCACCAAGCCGGGGGGCACAGCCGCGGGGGTGGAGCGCCCACTCGCAGAGGGAGATTAGTTGGGAGGGGAGGGAGAGCCCGCGAGCGTTCGAAGTGGGGTGTTCAGATGCTGGAGGGGAGATGTGGGAAGGGTTTGGAAGAGGGCCACAGAAGGAGACCCCGTCCCCACCCACACGAGAGGCAAGACCTTTGGTTGGAAAGGGCAAAATGAAGACCCCGGGAAATCCAGGGTGGGAACGCAGCTGGTGGTCCCAGTTAGACCCTGAGTTTTCTACTCTGCCTATTTGATCATTAAGCCTCAGCTCGCTTCCATCCATCTGCCAGTGCACTTTCCTAGCCACTCTGCCCTGGTTGGCGCTGTGAACCCCAAGTACTGCCCATCTCTAAACTAGAGGCCTAGGAAAGAGAAACTTCATGTACAGGGAATACAGAAAATCAGAAAATCTCCAATTTTAGGGTAATGCATACAGGAGACCCAACTCCGAAAGGAATCTGCTGCTACCTAATATTGCAAAGGAAACAGTACCCCAGTTTCCTTCCCTGAATCCCGTCCAGCCCCTGTGGTAGGGAAGCACTGGGCTGCTAGAGGGCTTGCATCTTAATATTGGTTGAAATTTGTTTCTCTCAATAGTTTTCAAACCTCAACCACCCCCGGAAGAACCTTCGGGGTATCAAGAGTACTACAATCCAAAACATAGGTGAGTGCTGTTAGGGCAAAGCAGAGTGGCCTCAATGAATTAAAAATTATTGCTTTGCTTTTATCACATCCCTGCCAAGTGAAATACCCTTCTTCTTCAGTGGAACATTCAACACTCTCCATTACCTTCCCCATCATTTTACCCACTCCTCCATGAAATGACTGTTCTTGCCAGTAGACACTGAAGAGTCAGGAAGAAAAAAATTGAATCATATGCTTTACATTTCTGCTCATCGTTTGTCTTTACATGTACTGTTTCTCTTCCATCCTTTCCAGATGGTTCTATTAATAACATCGAAGAAGATGATGAAGATGATGTAGGTAGGAGATAAATTTATTTGCATGTATCTGTTAGCATTCTTTTTCCATTTATAACTTCAATAGTGTGAGTGAATAATATAATCTCAATTGGAGAAGGCCTGTCTTTGCTTCTATTTTCTTATAGTGACTATCAGGAGACACACTAAATTATAAGTAGGTTGTATTTATTTAAAGGAAGTTGAAATGGAATATGCAGGGATTTATTGGGTTAAGAATTTCCAGCTGTCAAGAATTTGCTTTCATGGAGGTGGAATTAGGCTACTTTGAAGTTAGAGGATGGTGAGTACCAGTGCATAAGAAACTGAATCCTCATAAAGAAGGGATTCTCAGTGCTATCTCATTCTTTCTGGAACCTTCTTCTAGAGGAAAGATGAGCATAGGTGCGATTGCTTGGCATACAACCACTGAAAGAAAAAGAGCAGCTTATTTGATGTCATTCAGGAAGCTTGATGTCCTCTTTTTTATTTTTGCTTTTCTAGTGGATTTGGCAGCCAATTCACTCTTAAACAAGTTAATCCGTCAATCCTTAGTAGAATCCAGTCACCATGTGGAAGTTTTACAGAAGGATCCCAGCTCTCCACTTTACTCAGTAAAAACATTTGAAGAGCTGCGGCTGTGAGTATTTTTACTCTTTTAGTATGGGAAAAATGCTGAAAGGCACAGAACAAACGAATCTGCTTATAATAAAAACAATCTGGCTCTCCTCTTTGTTTTCTGATATTAATATTTTGTTTTTGTTTTTTGAGACAGAGTCTCACTCTGTCATCCAGGCTGGAATGCAGTGGCACGATCTCGGCTCACTGCACCTACGCCTTGCAAGTTCAAACAATTCTCCTGCCTCAGCCTCCCGAGTAGCTGGGACTATAGGCCTGTGCCACCACGCCCAGTTAATTTTTGTTTTAATATTCAGTATTAAAGTGAGATTTGTATGTTTTTCATGCAATCAAAATATAGCTCAGGCCGGACACGGTGGCCCATGCCTATAATCTCAACAATTTGGGAGGCCTAGGAGGGCAGATCACCTGAGGTCAGGAGTTTGAGACCAGCCTGGCAGACATGGAGAAACCCCGTCTCTACAAAAATATTAAAAATTAGCCAGGCTGGTGGCGCCAGCCTGTGATCCCAGCTATTCAGGAGGCTGACACAAGAGACTCACTTGAACCTAGGAGACAGAGGTTGCAGTGAGCCGAGATCACACCATTGCATTCCAGCCTGGGTAAAGGAGTGAGACTCCGTCTCAAAAAAGTGTGTGTGTGTGTATCTTTTTTAAAGGTGTTCTAAAGAAGAACATTAGGATATCCAAGTTGCCTGGTAAATTGTGAACATTTTTGATAAGATACTTTCCTCCTGCAGTGCTCAGGGGTTAGATAGCTAAGCTAGGCACAGCTAGGTTGCCACTCTCCGTATCAGAACCCAGATTCTGATGACCCAGACATCCCCTCCACCAACTGTAGATAAATTACAAGCTTTTACTTTCCTGATTATATTTTGTTTCAAATAATATTAAACTGAATAACTTTCCCAAATGGGTTTGCATTCCCTAGGGATTTATCATTTGACGCTTTAAAAAAAAAGGTATTTTAACAGAAAGAAAAGTACTGAAACCTACTTATGTAAAGAGTAAAAATCCAAAATCCTATCGCCCAGACATTTTCTAAATAGTAGAAGAAGCCTACCCATGATTTAAGATGGGCTGCCAGTCATCTACCAATTAAACACATAGAAATGTGCATGTTATTAAAGGTAGAGGTGTTCTAGCCCACTTGCTTTATCCTCATTCTGTCATTTTTCTTAAGAACCTCAGGAAAGCTGCATTTTAAAATATTGCCTCAGAAGGATAAAATAATATTGTGTCTTCTACTCTTAGAAAGAACTGATAGAAGAATTGCCTAAATAAAAATTTGTCTTCTCTGAAAATTACTGTTAAAAAATCAATATCATTTGTGAAAAGGAACTAAACAGTAAATGTCACTTAGTTTTCTGCTTAGGCAGAAAATATAACTCTTGGCAAACAGATGTATTCTTTTTATCGGATGAGGTTTTCCTATTTTGCTTTGTTCAACAGAAGTTTCAGCTTAAGGCCTTTACCACTGTCCTTCACCTAGGCTTATGGCATAGCTTATCATTTTAGTGGTCCACCTCTGCAGGCATGATTGTTTATGTTTGGAAGTTGAGGTATGAATGATATATTTTAGAAATGCACTTTTCAGGTCTGTATTTCTGATGCTACTGACCAACTATAATAAGCTGTGTTTGATTTTTTTTTTTTTTTTTTTTTACCAGAAAGGAAGAGTTACTAAAAGGAGTCTATGCAATGGGCTTTAATAGGCCATCCAAAATCCAAGAGATGGCTCTCCCTATGATGCTGGCACATCCGTGAGTTTCCAGGGTAGTGGTATTCTAACTTGGTTATATTTAGTTTCTTATTTTCAGTTTATGTCCACACTCTTGTATTCAGTTTATGCCCAGTGGTCTTCTCTTTTCTACAGACCCCAGAACCTCATAGCACAGA